CGGGGGCCCAGTGGAGGGGGGGGGGTGCTGAAAAGGCTGTGGGCAGTCATGGGCAGTACAGAGCGGGCTGGGGGGCGGCGGAGATCACGAGGGGGTGCAGACTCCAGGACCTTGTTGGCCTTGCTCCTTGGGAAGTGGGGGAGACTCCCCTAGGGGCTGTGGCGTTAAACGCCAGGGAGAGAGCCAGGGACTGATGCTGAACCTTCACTACTATCGCTCCCTGGCTGGCCCAGCGATCCGGGCTCTGTGCTGCAGTGTTAAATGCAGGCTCCTTGCTTTGGGCTGTAGCCAGTCCCCCAGCCAGCTCCGGAGGGACTCCGCGCTGGTTATTGCTGCCAGCCTAGCTCTAGCCACGGGGCCTGACTTGAAGAACCTGTGAAGGGGTCTCCTCTGGCCTGGTGGGGAGGTGGTGATGCACTCTGGTTGCATTGCAAGGCCGTTCATCTCCTGGGAGCATCTCTTTCTCCAGGTGCAAATGCCAGGAAAGGTGCTGCAGTGCTGAGTGGTGCAGCTGTCAGAAATGGCGCAGATTGGGAAGGGTCCAGAAGCGGTTTCCTTTGCCCGCCCACCACGGGGCAAGTGGACAGGCAGCTGTTCCCCCGCCAGGAGCGGACCACAGCCAGGGAAGGAGAATGAACCATCTGCCTGGGATGGGTCAGGTGCACAGAGCTGCAGCAAGATCCCTGTCCTAGCCAAAAGCCGCCTGCCCCCAGACTTCCAGCAACTGCACCAGACCTGGGAGAGCCAGAAGGTGAATGGCGGGTGAGGGGGAAGGTTTGGAGCCCTACCGTAGACCAGCCGCAGAGCATAAGTTGTTGGCTCTCCCTATGCTTGGGGGATAGCATCAAGGGAAAACACCTAGGCTGTGTCTACACTGGGCCACTTATTCAGGAAAAGCAGCCGCTTTTCCGGAATAAGCTGCGAGCTGTCTATACTGGCCCCTTGAATTTCCAGAAAAGCAGTGACGATTTACTGTAAGAAATCAGCTGCTTTTCCGGAAAAACTATGCTGCTCCCGCTCGGGCAAAAGTCCTTTTTCCGGTAGACAGCACAGTAGTCTTTTCCGCAAAAAAGCCCCAATCGCGAAAATGACGATCGGGGCTTTTTTCCAGAAAAGCGCGTCTACATTGGCCATGGATGCTTTTCCGGAAAAAGGGCTTTTCCGGAAAAGCATCCTGCCAATGTAGACGCTCATTTTCTGGAAATACTTATAACGGAAAACTGTTCCGTTTTAAGCATTTCCGGAAAAAGGTGCCAGTGTAGACACAGACTTAGGGCGTGGTTGAGATACCGCAGGGGCCTCTCCGCCAGGCTGGCAAATGAGGATCTAGGCTTCAGGCACACTTATCCTGCTTGGGGGTGGGAGCTGGTACCCTCTTCTCTCTTGCAACATGCTGGCTTCCCAAACAGGGTTCTGGTGCCTCCTTACCACCACTGAGTCACAGCCCCCCTCTTAACTGGGGCAGACCAAACTCTGGTGCCAGGGAAGGGCAGAGTGAAGTGTTAACTGCCCAGCACATTAGCTGTTGATCAGAGCTTAAAATGCCCCTTGGGGCACTTGTTAGCAGAGAATCCAACTGGTGCACCTGAGTCTGGCTGGTCCTGTGTTCTTTGTGATGTCCCCTCTTTGGATCATTGTGTTTTGGCTGTGATCCTCTGGCAGAGATGAGACCAATCAGCTGTCAGGGTGTTCCAAGCCCCTCCTCTTCTCCCTCTTGCTGGGGTGCTGGGCTCCATGGCACAAAATAGCCCACATTTGTTGTGCTGCAGCTTTGAGTGATTTTTCCCTGTTGCCCTGACAGCCTCAGGGCTATGGATGGTCTGGTGGAGTGCTCCGAGTGTCAGAGAGATGGGTCTACAATCTGTGTTGAAATGAACAGGGTGTTGTGTGGAGAGGAGGTGGGGAGGCAAACCCCTGGGGTCTGTACTTGGCTTTAGGACAGAGAGCGTGGTGTTCAGGGCAGGCACTGGGAATCCGGCCTCCTGGGTTCCATTCCCACCTCAGTGACTCTGTGATGTCAGGCAAGTTGCTTCCCTTCTAAGTGCCTCAGTTTCCCCCTTCCCCATAGGGATGTGCCTCTTCCTACTTATGCTTGTGGCAGCAGGTAAAGCCCAGGCCGGCTCGCCATACTGCCAAGAATGGGCCGCCACATCCAAGCTGGTGGCTGCCGGGCAGTGAAAGGCTCCAGCAGCTCCTCTGCACATGTGGGAGGCACCACTTGGGTGGGTAGAGCCATGTAGGGGACGTGCCTGGGGGGATGGGGTGTACATGGCTTGCTTCTTGCTATGGCTGCATCTCGTAGGCCTTGCTTGCTGGGTGGGCGGCATGTTTCCCACGCCACTGGAAGTGTCTGTACCTTGCTGCAGGGTGATTGTCTTTCTGTCCTGCCCAGGGGAAGGCTGCCGGCAAGAAGTCCTGTGCCCTTAGCCCGACCTGCAAAGGGGACAAGCACCCCGTTGGGCCCTGCGCGGATGTGGTTGCAGCCGCGGAGCTGCTGGTGGGATCCCCCAGTCTGCTGAGCAGAGCCCCCCTGGAGGAGATTCAGCAGTGGGCAGCAGCGCAGAAGAAAACACCAGGGAGCAGCAGGGATGGAGCTGGCTGGTGCAGCCCCAGCCTCTACCCGCAGGCCCAGGGAGGCAGCTCATTTATTGACACAGGGTCTTCTGCTGGGAGGCTCTCCTCTCCCAAGCTAAGCAGGATTAAGTCTGGACGGGGTGTGGATGGGAGACCTGGAGGGACAACCTCATGGAACTCTTGGTACCCTGCCCAGTCCTGGCCCTGGTCTCCCATGAGGGGCTAGGACATGAGCGCAGTAGCTGGGGGGCTCTGTGCGGCTGGAGTCTCTTCTTTCTGAGGAATGGTAAAGCCCAGGGACTGGCTGCCTCGGCCATCTGACAATGCCACGGCACGTTTCCCAAATGCCTGGGCCCGGAGCCCTGGCACTTCACTGAGCACTGGGCCACGTGTCCTGTAACTGCATTGGTTGCCTTGCAGTGTCAGCTGCCTTTGGCGTCTAGTCCTGCCGTGTTGCTGTGCGCTGTGAACGGATGGCTGCACTCTGCCCCAGAGGTAGCCGCATTTCAGTGTGGGCTGATCTTGTTAAGCATTGGGCTCCTCCAGGATGAAAGAGACCCTACATCACAGGGTGGAGGGCAAAGCTACGTAGGGCTTACTGGTCCGGTTCGGCCTCGTGACCCCCATGGTCTCTTTGCAGAAGCTGGCCTCGTGGGCTTTGTGGCGGACTCGGTGGCTGTGGCCAGCAACCTCTCCAGGATGGCAAACAGCATGCTGGGCGTGGCCAGGAAACCCAACCTGGCCTGCTCAGCCCCTCCGAGGGGGGGCAAGGGAAACGTGGTCCATGCCAGTGGAAACACACGGGTAAGTCTGTAAAATGGCTTTGCTGGCCCAGGGAAGTTCTGACTCGCAGCCTCCTCCCAGCAGGGCTTGGCTAAGGGGCCGGTCTGGGGCTGGCTGATCGCGTCTCTCTTCCCCCAGACTGTGCACGGCAGCGTCTCCCTGTACGTGGCCTCGAGAACCCCGGCCTTGGACCTGAATCCAGCCCGTGCCTCCTGCTACTCCCGAGTGGCAGCTAAAGGTACAGACCCAGCTGGGGGCTCTGGTTGCGACGGAGGGAGCAATGGGGGAGCAGCCTTCCTAGGACAGTGACCCCGCAGTGCAGGCCCCAGCTGGGGAGGGGTTAGGGAAGCAGGAGCTGATCCTGACTCTTTGGTATCATGAATGTAGCATCAGTTCTGGCCTGCTCTCAGCTCTCTTCTCCCGCCCCCCCCTTCTCCCCACTTCCTCCTGGCTGCCTGACTCCCACCCTCTGTGCTCTGGCTCCTAGATGCAGTTGGCCGAGCCCTGCAGGACCCTGCCCAGTGCCGTGGCCTGCTCCTTAAACCTCAGCAGATCCAGACTCTGTCCGTGGCGCTGAGGGACCTGGCACCCCGTGCCCAGTCCGTGGTGAGTGCTGTCCGTGCGGGCTGGCTTCAGCCCCCCTCTATGGCTGGGCTGCAGATGCTGTCTTAGAGCCCTGGGTTTGGAGGGGCTGCTCGCCTGGGTTGGCACTGGGGCCTGGTTCTGGCTAGCGGGGCTAGTGGCCTCCAGAGCTTCAGGAGCCAGCTTGGGACTGATGGCTGGGAAGGCTGCAGGGGACTCACTTTGGGACCCCAGCTCTTTGCACAGCACCAGGCTGGCTCCCTGCCGCGAGAACCTGCCCACGTCCCTGCCTCGCCTGGCTGCCTCCTTTGTACCCCGGCAGTTGGTTCACGCTGCTCCACGGCCCCCAAGGGTGGGTCACCGGGGCTGGGTGTCAGGTGATGCGGTGCCTGGCTCCGATGCCGCAGTCTCTACAGATTGGGGTGAGGGGAGGGCAGGGAGCTGTGGGAACCTTACGCCTGCCCTGCCCCCCTTGAACTAGCCTTCTCTTGGTGCTAGGGACATGAATGGTTAACCAGTAAGCTGCCCAGGAGGCTTACTAATTCCAGTTTAACCAGCGGCTCCAGCCCCGCTAAGCTATCACCACTGGAGCAACTCCCTTACCTCCCCCTCCCCCCGGCTGGGGTGCAGCTCAGGGGGTTGGAGGGTGGGGGACAGCTGGGGTTGGGCTGGAGGGTGAGGGGTTCTCTAGCCCAGCCGAAGCAGCTCCCATCCATGTTGGGGGGCAGCTTGGGGCGCGCTGGAGCAGCTCCCTGCCTGCCCCCCTTCAAGTGCTTAAATGGGATTTTCCATCCCCAAATGGCGCCCCGCGTGACAGAAGGTGGGCGCAGGGGCGAAGGAGGCATGTCGGGGGCGCCCGCATCCCAGTGCCACAGCAGCACAGAGTGACCCAGCCGGGAGCCGAACCGGAGCAGGGGACCAGCCCAGCGATGGCAGGCCGGGATCCCCAAGCCATGGCAAAGCCACGGGGCACCAGAGCGCAGCCCACAGGTGATGGGAATGCACCATTAATGGGTAGGGGGGAGGAACATACCATTCATCACCCATTGCAGTGGGGGTGTGGGTGCGCACGCGCGCGCACCTGCCATTTCCAGGGCATGTCGCCGTTAGCGCTGCCCCTGGGTGCTTTGTGCCATAGTCCCGTCTGCAGGCGGGTCACGGTTGGAGACCTGGCCAACTCGCTACGCATCCACCTCTCTCCTTTCCCCCCAAGTCTCCTGCTGGGGTCAGACCCAAAGGGAGTGGGAGGCCATAAGCAAAGCCCTGGGATTCGGGTGGCAAACAAGCAGCCCTTTCCCGTGCTGGCCAGCGAAGGGGGGAATGAGCAGCCCTTGTGGGTTTTCTCCCTTCAGCGGCGGCTCACCCCCGAGGACGGACCCCATGGGAGCGTCACAGACCGGTAAGTGGCTGTGTCCTGTTTGCCTGGACTAGAACCCTGGCTCCAGAGCTGGGGGAGACCACCCCCCGCACAGTTCCCTCTTGCCTTATGAGCAAAGCCGTGCCGGGCATTTCCACAGGCTCCGCAATTCCCTGGCGGTGCCCCTCCCCCTAGACTCGACCCATCACCCCCCTGCCCCCCATGGCTGGTGACCGGGGTTGGATTTGTCGGTCCGTGTCCGTGCAGCCCGGCTGAGCGAGAGCCGCTGTCGGGACCTTCCTTCGTATGGGGGTGCGAGAGCTCGGACTTGTCAGTCTCGCCGGCCGCAGTCGCGCGTCTTCGCTGCTCCGCTGTTGGGTGCCCTCCCCCTCCCCCGCAGCGCCGAACGGCTCCGTCGCGGGAAACGTTGAAACCACTTCACGGAGTCAGGACAATGGGCTCCTGCCGAGCCAGCTGCTGACTGTCGTCTCCTCTCCCCACCCCCGCAGAGCAGTTTGTGCCGGACCCAGCTGCCCTGGCCAGCATCCTCTCCAACGTGGGGCTGAGCCACGCCGCCCTGGAGCCCACGGGGAGCTTCGGCCTGGCTCGCAGGGTGCCGGTGAAGGGGCTGCGGAACGTGCAGCCCTCGGTCGGGGGGCGCCCCACGGTGAGCTGCGCAGGGGTCTCAAAGCCGGGGCTTGGTCCTTGCTAGGCTCCTGTCTCCCCTCTGGAGCCTTGGGGGCAGCTGATCCTGCCCAGCGCTTTGTGTGATCCCAAGCTGGGGGACTGGGCCGCGGGGCAGGCCCCACCGGCGGTACTGTGGCCCAGTCAGCCCTGCAGTGACGGGGGCTGGGTGCAGCTCTGGCTGCTGCCCCTGGGGCCTTGGGCTGCCTGGCACTGACCCCCAGGGGCTGGGCTCAGTGTGCCCCTGCCCTTGCCATCTGCAGAGCGGCGGAGGCTGAGGCTGCCTTCTCTCCCCTCCCCCACAGGACAGCAGGACCTCGCTGCTGGGGAACCGGGTCAGCGTCCCCCCGAAGGGAAACTTCGGCCGCGTGTCCTGCCGCTCGGTGCCGGGCCTTAAAGGTACCGGGGAGAGTCTGGGCTTGGGCTCTGGAGGTTGCTGCTTATGCCTGGCCAGGTGGGGCCTCGCCTGCAGGGCTGGGCAGGGCTCACTGCCCTCCTCTTCTCTGCAGGTATCGAAGCCCCGGATGGTCCCCGGGTTGGCAGGCTCAGGACCCCGGAGAGCAGACGCGATTCGCCCTTTGGCTCCGCCAGGAGGGTGCCCGTCACGCAGCCCCAGTCCCTGGTTCGTACACTCGGGTGGGGCGGGGCTGGGACCCTTGTCAGGGAGGGGTCAGTCTGCAGCCCCCGGTGCCCTGACCCGTCAGAGCATCACCCTCCGCTCAGCTGGCCCTCGCCCCCCCCCCGCCCAATGTCTGGGGTTGGAGATGAGGGAGGGGGGCTGGGAGCCAGGACAGTGCCTTGCTCAGTGTCACCCCCTGTCTGCAAGGCAGGGGGCTGCCAGGCCGGGCCCTGTTCAGGCACCATTGTCCGGGGGCCGTGGCCACATGCTAGGGTGGACTCTGGAGCATCTGCACTGCAGCCAGTCCAGGCAGGGTCTGTTCCCTGGGGGCTGGCAGCCCCGGTCAGGCCCATCTGGGTGCCATCCCAGTGAAACCCTCTCTCCTTGCAGCGCAGCGCTTGCTTCTCCTCCCGCCGCCTGCCCGTCTTCCCTCGCTCCAGAGAGGCCCTGGAGAAGCGCTCGGCCCGGGGAGCTCTGCAGGTGGGTGGGGTGGGGGCGGGAACAGAGGCAGCTCAAGGGCCCCAGGTGCTGGGGACCTGCCGCCTTGAGGGGTGTGCTGCTGACGGGCTCTGCCAGCCCTTCCCACCCCGGAGCCGAGCCCCGGAAGAAGCTGGTTCCCAGCCGCAGGTGTGCGGGGGTGGCTACGTCCCGCGGCAAGTCTGTGCTGACACCACGTTCCCATCTCTAGACCCCAGCCAGGTGGGCCGGCGGCCTCTCCCCGCAGCCTGGAAGCTCTGACCCCGACGAGTCGGCCCTGCCCTGGGTGAGTGCCGTGGGGGTGAGGAGGGTGGAGACTCTATCGAGCTGGGGCCGTTCCCAGAGGGGGGAGTCCCTTCCTTTGCTGCTCCCCGGGAGGGCAGGCAGCTGCAATGGGGCCTGACCAGTGTCATGGGTGGTGGAGCCCCAAGGGGGGTGAGGCCTGCTGCAGCATCAGCCCCTGCAGGGGCCCCCACCCCAGCTGAGCTCCAGACCTCCCCCCTGTGCAGCAGAGCAGGAAAGGGGCTTGCGGGGCTGGAATGGAACCTCCTGTAACGTCTGTGGGGAAGATCAGTGGGGGGCCCCTGCCTGGGTTCCCTGCTGGCTCCGGTCCCATGCCCCTAACGGTGCCTCCCCCAGGAGAAGATCGTGGTGCGTCTCTTTGGGCACGGGGAGAGCCAGGCGGCCGCGGAGGCATCGGTGAGGAAAGCTCTCACCCAGCCTGCTGAGGGAACCACCAAGGCGCAGGTAAGGAGGGGGGGCTCCTGGCTGCAGGTAGGGGAGGGGAGGGAGCCCCCTGTCTCCAAAGGGGCAGCCTGGCCCGAGAGGCCTGTGATATTCGGGGGGCTGGGCTGAGGGGGCGGCTGCTGACCCTCCCCTCCTCTCTTCT